CAGTAATCCAGTCTTGAGGTGACAAGGGCATGAGTGACCGTGAGTAAAGCCTCCCGGTCCAAATAAGGCCGCAACTGGCGAACCTGGTGTACCAGGCAAACCTGGTGGCAAAATTTGGTACAGCAAGTGAATTTTTTTCTTCTGACTGGGAGACCTGCCAGACTAAGATTTGTCCTTGACACTAAAAAAAGATAAGAACTTGAAACAACTGGGTGGTGAAAACAACTCCCTATAGTGGAGGTGGACATTTATTGACTTTTATTAAAATAGCCTCCACTAAAGGACTATCTTTAAACACCACAGAAATGGAGGAATACTATCCACAACTTAACTACAAACTTATACTTGAAAAAATCTTAGAGGCTACTGAGCTAATGAATTCCAGACAGAAAGATAAAGGCCCACCTTAAAGCTACAAAATTCAGCCCAGATTTCAACTGATGAACAAAAGGCAACAGAAGAAGAAGGAACTGACACTAAATTGGACTTTAAAGAATACCAGCTACAATCTTCTCAGAACCCTGATGACCAAACCTTGATTTCTACTAAAAAAAACCTGCAATTCTAATAACAAGAGAAACTGAACAAAGTAATACTAGGACGGAAGGAGCGGAAGACCTGCTTACACAGCACATTGAGAATTTAGATAAACCAGACAACCGAATAACAACCATAACATTGAACGTGACTTTTTATTTAAATGAGCTGAAATTGGAAGAAGAAGAAGTCTAGTCTGAACTGACGATAAATATACTAAGCCAAACATGGAGATTCAAGTTATTAGGCCAACAATGTAATGACTATGAAGGGACCAGCTTTCTTGAAGAATTGATAACTGGATGGTCTCCCTTGATTCAAATGACATGTGGGAGTTGAAGTCCACAAGTCTTAGAAGTGGCAAGTTTGAAGACCCCTGAACTAGCTGGTAGTGGTGCATATTAATAAACATGGATAAATTCATCATACATTTGTCAGTGCAAAGGGAAAGTAATTCAGCAAAGGAACAGCCCCCCAATAAATTAAAACTGGTACTTTTTTCCTTTTTTTCTACAGTTTGTAATATTTTAGAATAAAATACAAAAATACAAAAGCAAATATTAGAACACAGTGGAGAGGAAGAAGGGGGAAAAATGAGTGGGAGAAGGGAAAAAGAACATACTTCCTCTGTTGCAGTAGAAGGAAGCATTAACACTGAACTTCAACTTTTTACTTTTCCATAATATTATAAATTAGCTATTTCTATAACCACAAATGAATCTAATCAGTAAAACTCCAAACCCCCCCCCCCTTTTTTTTAGTCATTAAGTTTTTGACACCTTGCTAAGCACTGGTGGTACTCAAATATTGTCATGTCCTAATAGTGGTACAATCTGTGAAAAGGTTGAAAAGCCTTGAGCTATACAACATCTTCCAACAGAATGGATACCAATACAACTTTATAAAAAAGTGCTTGATCACTCAGTCTACTACAGCAGTGGTTCTTAACCTTTTTGAACAAATCGCCCCCTTGAGCCAATGAGGAAGTTGTCATCGCCCCTTCCCCCAACATAACCTCTCAATCACAACATAGGAAATAATTTTTCAATTTATGCAAACACTTTTTTTGTTTTCTTTAAAATTGTCATCAGACATATCGATGCAAATAATTTATTTCCAGACTTTTTCCCATATCTCAACTGTGTGAAAAATTTTGGTGCCACCCGTCACTTTATTCCCAAACTTCGTGATACATTTATTTCATTATTACCTTATTTATTCAAGACACTTAAATGTAGTGACCACTGAAAACAAAATTCAATCCACTAATAGCGAGCGATCTGATGTTTTTGTACAACAGATACACAGCGATTCACTGTATGAAAAAGTCTCAAAAGTGTCCCCAAAACTTCTCGCTCCATCGCCCCCATATCACCCCCTTTTTGTTCCATTGCCCCCTGGGGGGGGGTGATATCACCCAGGTTAAGAACCACTGTACTACAGTACAGCCAACACAAACTGAGAAAAAGATAACACTGCCATACATTCAAACCATGTCAGAAACCACCAACAGTTACAACAACATGGTATCACTGTAGCACACAAACCAGCTAAAGCCTTCCAAAACATCCTAAGTAAATCAAAAAATGCAGCAGCCCTCGAAGAAAAAACAAGAATCATCTGCAACATACAGTGTAAGAACTGTAATATCCACTGCGTAGGACAAATAGGACAAACAGGCAGAAGATTAACAGAACACATCCATAACACCAATTAGCAGTCCTAAAGACATGATGAAAACTTTTGCAACACATGGACAGACTTAACTATAGTTTCAACAAGGAACTGTGAGCATCTTAAATCAAGCCAAATTCAAAAATGCTAGAGAATTCCTAGAAGCCTGGCACTCAGACAAATCAGCAATCAACAAACCCATCAGCAGGCACAGGAGATAAACAACAACTACATACTATTCAAAAAAGACAAAAAGCCAGAAAGGAAACAAATGATAGCAGTGTTCCAATATCTCAGGGGCTGCCACAAAGAAGAGGGAGTCAAGCTATTCTCCAAAGCACCTGAAGGCAGGACAAGAAGGAACGTATGGAAACTAACCAAAGAGAGAAGCAACCTAGAACTAAGGAGAAATTTCCTGACAGAACAATTAATCAGTGGAATACCGTGCCTCCAGAAGCTGTGAATGCTCCAACACTGGAAGTTTTTAAGAAGAGACTGGATAGCCATTTGTCTGAAATGGTATAGGGTTTCCTGCCTGAGCAGGGGGTTGGACTAGGTGACCTCTAAGTTCCTTTTCAACTTCGTTGTTGTTGTTATTATTATTATCACAAAAAGACCAAAACATCGCCTCCCAGCTATCATTACTCAGATAAGCAGAGATTAACACCAAGATTAATATAAGACCAACAATCAAGAAGTGAACAATACCCCAATTAAGGAACTACTATCTCAGACTTACAAACTAACATTAAAAAAATAGTCTAATCAAGGAACCACTACTATCAACACTGATGGATAAGTCATTAATATATATTAAATTTACACAAGCTCAAAATTTGAGAGAAAATTTTTATAAAATGTTTTATAGATGGCATTTAGATCCTAAAAAATTATCTTGTATGTATTCCAATATACAGCCCAAATGTTGGAGATGTGGCAATAATAATGGGCTGTATATTTGGTGGAATTGCAAAAAAGTAAAGGATTTTTGGATTATGATTTGGTGGAACATTCAAAAGGTTTTTAGAAGAAAGATAAAGTTTACTCCTCAACTATTTTTACTTGGTATTTTCGTTGACTTAAATGAAAAAGAAACTACTTTGATGTTGAATTTATTAACTGCAGCAAGGTTATTAGTAGGTTTATACTGGAAGAAAGATTCTTTGCCTACTCTAGAAGAATGGATATTTAAAGTATCTAGTTTTGCAGAAATGGCAAAAATTTCTGATTATTTAAAGGATCATACACAAGAAAGATATATTATTGTATGGAGAAGATGGATAGATTATATTCAGAAAAAGTATGGAATTAAAAAGTTTCATTTATTTTATGAATGAATATTAAATATTATAGAGAATTGCTTTATAGGTTATGGAGTTAAAGGTTAATTATGATTTTTTTTCTTTTTTCTTTTCTTTTTTTATTATTATAAATTTTGTTATTATTAACCCTGTATTCTGCTCTGGGAAGTGAAGGGAGGGGGGCTGGGGTGGGAGGGAGGGTAAGGGGGGGTAAAGGTAGTATAGACAATGGTTGCTTATGAATTTATTTTACTTTAAAATTTTATTGTATTTTTATAATGTTTGTATGTTAAAAAATAAAAATTTTCAACGAAAAAAAAATAGAGATTGCTGTCCTATAGCTTTATTGTCTAAAAGCACTTCCATATTTTTCACTTATAGCTAAGGACTTTGTTTTCAGACCTGCAGTTGCAGATTTCATGAAATCAATTGGATGAGTTCTTTATTGGAAATTCTGTAATCAATATATTTCTTATACAGTTCCTTAATACGATAAATCATTTTTCTAATACTAAGATATTCTGAATTTAAATATAGTGTTTGATCAAATTCTTCCATTTCCTTTCTCTGAAATGTAACTTTGCTTTACATATATGATTTGCTCACTTTTTATGTTTGCCTGAAATTAGAGAATAATCATGTAACTATAAAGACAATTCTATTGCATTGTGGAAAAACTCAAAATATTTATTTATAAAATTTATTGGCCACCCATCTTAACACAGGATAACTGTCTCCTAGCAAAATGTACCTTTGAACTATGCAAATTAATTTCTTACTGTAAATAACCAGTGAAGTTACCATTGGGTATAGCTGTTTATTTTCTACGCCTTCTTATTTTGCATTTATTTTTTCAAATTAAAGGTGGGTGGAAATGTTTATCTTTGACAAAATATACCTGCTGACCTTTGATTGTAGGCAGATTTGAGTCTTAGATTAAAAACTCATTAAAAACTCTTATGACAAAATATATCTATAGTTGAAAGCAATAGTAATTAATTAATTACATATAATAAAATGTCATTGTTTAAAAGCATAAATTTCCTTGTATTTATCATACCAATTTCTCTATTTTTTCTATGCTTGCATTCAAATCAATTCAAATAATTATAAATTTGCATGGTAGAACATTCATCTTTAATTATTTCTGGTTTTTTTGTTGTTGTTTGTTTTCTGTGCTTGCATGGGGAAAATGCCACTAGCTTGGAAGAGTAATAACTGAAATGTACATGTAATGTCACAAATACTAAAAGCCAAATAAAAATGAAAACAGGATAAGATGGGAAAATCTTAAAAGTTTTAAAAGTTCTCTGCTAGATAAGCAATACAGAAAAGAAATCTTAGAGGAGTAAAAAAAGACACACTTAATAATTGTGGGAAGGAGGACAGTCTGATTATGTTTTCACCAGATATTTTTTTAATTCTGTAGGATTCTGTATATATCAGTATTTTGGATGTGGGCTTAAAGATGTTTGTCTGTATCTTTAGGTTAAAAGAGTCCACATTTGATGACATCAACTTAGAGCAGCCTGAGTGTTCATTTTTCTTTGATGTTTTCCTCTGATCAAATTTAGATGGTCTTATCCTTTTCATCTTTCAAAGAGGTAAGCTATTTTATTCTGGGAAATAAACATTACTAACATTTCAGAATAGAAGTGATGTTATGAGAGCTAGCATATTGTATGGTTAAGACTTGGACTGTAAGAGGGGAGACCTGTGTTCTAATCCTCCATGGAAGTAAGCTGTGTCACTGTGTCACCTTGGGCAGTTAGTGAAAGGTAGGGCCAAGGAATGATAGATCAGATAAAAAAACCCCCAAGATTACTGATAATGAATTTGGTTCAGCCTCTACAAACAGTTGCAATGGAAAAGCCAGCTTTCTCAGGTAGCAGTGGAGGTATGACAGAGGTGAACTTTGCTGGCAGTATGTCCAGTATGTCCAGCTTAAATGGTCAGGAGATGAGTGCAGCTTGCACTCATTTAGAAGATCAAAGTGGAGATTGGAGTCCAACTCCAAAACTTAGAGCTTCTGGTTCTGGAGAGGTCAATGAGACAGATAGCAGCAGAGTCAGAGACTTGGACTCTGATAAGGAGATTAACTTGCAGAAACGAGTGAAAGAAAGAGGATGAATACCAATCTTATCAGATAATGGATTTTCAAATAGGAAGTAAGGCAATATCACATGCCCATTGCACAAATTGGGAAGTACTGAGGAAATCTCCTACTCCACAGTGAGAAAAATGTGCCAGAGGAGCACTGTCATCTGGTAAATACTGAAAGTGTACAAATAACGGGGTGTTCCTAGGAAACGTGGAAGACATTTGTTGCTATTATTGAAGGATAAAAGCTAATGGGACTAATTACAAGATAGGCAGAAGGTGAAATGAGTTAGGGTTGATATTGTGTAAGTTAATGTATTACAAGACAATCTAAATCCCTAGAAATGTCCTGAATTTATTAGCTGATATTTATTTATTTATTTATGAGACTTATATACCGCTTTAAGTGCAAGCACTCTCTAAGCGGTGTACACCAGTAAGCAATGTATATATATATATTTACATTGCCCCCAACAATCTGGGTCCTCATTTTACCTACCCCGGAAGGATGGAAGGCTGAGTCAACCTTGAGCCGGTGAGATTTGAACCGCTGACCTGCTGAACACAGTCAGCTAAAGTGGCCTGCAGTACTGCACTCTAACTGCTGCACCACCTCGGCTCATATTGATGAGATAGATAGATGGCAGGTGCAGGTAAGATAAGAAAAGGAAGTGCACATTTTGATGTTTAGCAGTTATTTGATTGGGACTTAATGATGTAGATATAGCAGGAGGTGCTAGGGATTGTTATAAGTTTTTTGGAGTGATAGTGCAATCCATAGAGAAAAGGTGATTTTCTTTCCTCCTGCTAGTGCAGTAGATAATTTAATATTCTGTGATATGTTAAAAATAAAGATATGTTTTACAAATAGAATTGTGGGCCTTTTTAAAACTTATTCTTCAGACTTATCTGTTATTTATGGGCTTCTTATTTTAAGATTTTTTACTTCCATATTATTTCTAAAACTGTATTTTCCTATCTAATTATATTATAATCTATATTTTTCAATCATTTTGTTTTCACTTGTCCAACTTTTATGATTATTTTTCTCCAAAATTTCTATGCCTAGTTTTATATACTTACTATTATAATTTTGGTAATAATTTAATTATTAAATAAATGAATTGAATTGAATTGAACCTTCTTCACATCAATCACATTAATTTAATATACACCCAAATTACAAATAAAAAAAAATCTCTTCTCCCCATAGTGTAACCTTTATTTCTACACAGTCTAGAAATCATATTTTCAATTCTAGTTCAGCAAAAAGTCCATTAGGAATTACCAGAAATATTAAACAAATAATTTCTCCATGATCAAATAGTCCAACTTTATATTCCTTTTTCCTCTGTACAGTCTTGATCTTTAAACCATTCCTATTGCATGTCAAGAGTTGATTACTTTGTATAGAAGAATAGGCAGAGCTGAGGGGGTGGAATTAAGTATGTCATCAGTTTAGAGTTCTTACATTGCTACAAATTATCTAAGTCCAACCATTCCTGAATTCCGTTGACATTTATCTGGTGCCAATTTAGTGCTGAACTTTAGTTGACTAGATTCTTGGGTATAGGCTTGAAAAAAAATCTATGCTGCAGTCTAACAAATGAGCCTGATTCTTTGCGCCTGACACTTTGGCATTTAAAAGGAGTCTTTGAAGTTTTCACCAGCCTTTGTAAAGAAGCATCAGCTAGAATTTCTTGGTGCAGCTATTCCATATCTATATCTTTTTCTTGATTTGTCTTTTGTATTTCTACTTTGGTAATCTCAATTTTGTTGTCTTCCATGCCTTCGAAGTCTAAAATTATGTCAGGTAAATGTTTTCTCATCATCTTTTAAAAGTCTGTCCATTGAAATCTGTATCCTTTCTGAGATATTATTAATACTTGAATCCATATTTCAAAATACTGTTTTAAATAAGAAAAAGTTATAACTAGCTTAGGCATTTTAACTCTTTTTCTGCCTGGTCCTTTAGTTCCCTCTAGTGTCCATTTGCAATTGTCATCAGATCTCAGTTGCTAGCATGGTTCCTTTCAGTCATTTCCCATGTGGGTATATTATTTAATTATAATATAACCTTTTGGGAAATTACTGAAAGGAAATAGTTAATTACTGAAAAAATATTTAATTTTAAATATATGTTTTTCAAATAAACATATGTATAATTAAATAATAAGCAATGTTCCATATCTTTCTAATCTTTCAATCCATTTAATTTTTTTTAAAATCAAACTCCTTTTATAAAAAGCTGTTTGCCAATTCTTTAAAATTTCTTAAATCCGAAAGATGTAAAACTCAACGGATGTCAAATTAAGCTCGCTGTTTTGAAGGTCTCTAATAATCCTAAAGTGGTAGCATTGAATAATTTTAAATGTGATTAGGAAGTGAATTCAGCTGGCTTAGTGTCCTTATGAAAGGTTCTGCTACTATTAAGAGCAAAAATATTCTCTTTCTCCATTTCTGGGGTTTGAACCTTCACAAAACCACTAGAGGAGCTGCCATTCACAGCACACATTGGCAGCCTTCTTCCCCATAGAGATTCAGAGGAGTGGTCTACTTGCTGGTCTTTCTTTCTTTATAACTTGGTTGCCAAGATATTTTTAGTCAGCCCCTATTCATATTGGCTTGAGTTTCTCCGCTCTGTCCGAAAGAAACCGGAGGTGTAGAGCAGGATTGCTCTCAAGAAGACGCAGGTGCACTACTTGCTTGCGTGTGCTCATCTTATTAAGAGCAATCCTGCTCTGTGCCACTGCTTCCTTCTACTCGGATGGAGCGGAGAAACCCAAGCCACTACCGCTGAAACACTTTTTATTTGAACGAAGACCTGACAGAGATTGGAAGCTCTGTGTGACTGTCAATGGGGCGCTTCAGCAACAGAAAGGAATGCTCTGTTTCTGAAGTGCCTCATTGGTAGTCACATGGAGCTTCTATCTCTGTCAGATTTCCATTCGGATAAAAAGTGTTTCAGCGCCTTTGGGGCTATTCGAATCACTGCGTTTCCAAGCATTGCATTTGCTCACAGATGGGGCTCCCCATTTCCCCAACATCTCCATTTGGATAAAAGGTGTTTGAACATCTACGGGACACTTGGAAATGCAGCGATTTGCTGCGTTTTCAAGCGTTGCGTTTGCACACAGACAGAGCTCCCCATCTCCCCAAGGTCTCCATTCATATAAAAAGTGTTCCAGTGGTGGTAGAAAGAAGTTGGGGGGAGCAGGAGACAAGCACAGAGTTTGCGCCAAAAAATGAAAGTTTCTGGAGTCCGTGATCTCGCGAGAGTTCAGGTACCCATTCTTTGCAAAAGTGGATGGGTGCCTGAAATCGCGCAATATTATGGCATTCAGGAGCTTCCATTGACTCTTCTCTCCCTCAAAGGCAGAAATTGTGGCAAAGAGGAGACAGATCTTCTCAAGGTGAGTCTGGCGCGGCAGGAAGGGAGAGGGAAGCAGTTGTGGGGAGTGGGGAAGAGAATAGGATGAATGTTGCAGAGCCTCTGCAGTTGTTCGTAAGGACGAACAACTGCCGTGGTATTGCAATATTCGTAATTTTGGGTTTTTCTTGTAAACACAAGAGGGTGCTTATCACATAACTTCGAATGAGCATTAAGTGAACGCTCGTAACTCGGGATTACCTGTACTAACTATTGTATTTTTTATTATAATCTCTTTTATTAAATTTTCATTCTTCTATGTGTCAGTTCCACACTGACCTTTTTTACTGACCTTTCTCCTGGTTTTTTGCCATCTCTCTTGTGTATGTGTGGTTGGACATCATTGTAGATCTTGATTGCCTTTACTTTTGCTGCTGTAGCCTTAACTTATTTTCTATCTGCACTGACCTTCTCTGACTTAAGATGCTATTATGCCAGGACCATTTGGCTCTAGTTCCAGCTCTCAACATCTCTGCCACTGGCTTTCTAATACTAATGGCCTGGTACTAGCTCTTTGTGATTGATACTCTCTGGCATTTGATACATCTAGCGTACTCTTTGATCACTGGTTTATCCTGTTACTCTGATTCAGCCCTCTTTGGCATATCTTCTCTAGTTTGACCTTCTCTGGCAGTTTATGTGTCTAATATGCTCCAATTTGACTCCCTCTGACCCCTGGTACTGTTGTTATTGTTGCTCTGGGCTGCTTTCAGCCTCATCTACAGCTTCTGCCTGGCTTGGATTAAGTGAAAATGCTGGGGGCTGAAAGGCTAACCTCCTCTTTCTTTTTCTGGCCTCAACCCCTCCCAGATATCAGCCTAGTACTCCAGGGCTTTCCAGTTCCTTGTGACTGGAAAAACCCCTTTCTAAGGGACTTGCCTTCTAAGACTTTCCCTGGCACCACTTCCTTTTTTTTTAGTTCTCTTTAACTCTTTAACTCCTTTTTCTCTCTCTCGGTTGTGGTGTTGCACCGCAGAGCCAAGCTTTCCTGTGCCTGCTCCAGCTACATCATTGTTTAAATGACTGTCTCCTCAAAATAGTAATGGTGCAGTGCTTTTAAACCATTGGAGCAAA